TTTCGGGGTCAGTAAGTTTTTGTTCATGGGGCAGTAACAACTTAGAAAGGAGGCTAAGAATGTAATCAGTATCACTAAATTATTCATGTAGAAACAGTTGGAATGGTGTATGCTTTGTTGTAGATTCCCTTAAAACAACAACAGCAAAAAAAACAACAACAACCCAACAACAAAATACTGGGTTCCTGCTATCACCCTCCTCCCCTCTCTTGAAAAACTCAAAGTATATGAGACTATGAAACTAGCAAATACAGGCATTAGTAGGCTAAGTAGAGCTAATTTCCAACTGCTTGCCCCCAGCCTGCCCCATATTGTGTGAGAGATGCTGCAGATGTCATGCTAGCAGGCTTAAACCCATTAGTCACTATAATCCAAATAGAATGTAATTAACTCTATAATTTAGAGCAATGCAATTTTAAGTTTAGCCTCTTAAATGTGACTAAGGCCCTCTGTGACTTGGCCCCTGCTGACCTGCCCACCGCCTCCACCTTTCTCCTGACCTGTTTCCATGCTCCAGACATTTATATCTATTTATTGTCCAGAACAAGGTCTATTTTCTCTCAGCCCCAAATATGCTGTTTGAATAGCCTAAAAATCCTTTCTTCTGTCTGCTGCCTGGCTGACTAAATCCTACTCACTCTTTAGATCTCCTGTTAATCAGTCTTATTCTGTAATAGCTCCCCTGATTATTCTGAGCATACTGAAAAGAATTAGTTTCTATTGCCCATTGTTGTGTTTCTCTCTTTTGGGACTTTTGGTATAAACTTAGCGCAATCATATCGCTTAGTTCATAATACAGTTATCTGTGCAAGTCTCTTCCTTTTCCCGTGTTTCAATCCCTGATTCACTTTCCCATTAACTCTCCTACTATGAACAGTACTCTTAATTGATATTTATATACATGCACAAGGTAAATCAAAAAGCATTGCTACAAAATCAAAGAAAGCTTCATGAAACAAAAAGATCACAACATGAAACTATTGTTTCTCAACATATCCTCCATCTAAGTCTATGTACTTGTTGCTAGAGACCACTTTATTAAGCCTGAAGCAGGATAACGAGAAGATAAAAGATCATCATCCTGGAAGGAGAGAAGCCATGAGCAAGATGGCAGGATGGAATGCAATTAATTTGTAACTATCAAGCTAACTATAAACATGAAAAACAAGAACATCACAACACCAGATCGATCCGTCACTTTGCTGGTAAGACTACAGAAACGGGAAAAAAAACATGATGTGTTCACAACTGCAGATTAACACGATTTACAGGATTACTTCTGGGGCCTACACTATCCCACCTTGAGTCATATCCAAGCTTGAATAATATCCACCAACTTTCCAACCTTTAGATAACATGCATCTGTAAGTCATAAAGGACACTCCAAGTTCCTTCCCTGAGGGCAAGGTCCCCTTTCATAGTCTGGCCTATGGGGTTGTAATATACTTTTAATTACACACTTTGCCTGAGAGCAAAGCTGCCAAATTACTCATTAGTGGTCAGTACTCCAGTGGAGTCTTAACTTTTGCTAAGAGACTCAAAACAGAGTTAGGTCTCCCATTGAAAATCATAGCCTTCAAAAGCAGGTTAGTGAATCTATTCACTTCTAAAGGCAGTATTTCCATCTCTTTAACCCTTTCCCTTTACCACCTGTCTGTCAGATTGTCTACTGTGGTGGCTTCCATGTTGCTGTGATGCTAGAAGCTGTGTCACTGGTATTTCAAATGCTAGCAGGGTCACCCAAAACGAACAGGTTTCAGCAGAACTTCCTGACTAAGAACGGACTACAAAGAAGAAATAGATTATCCCCTTCGGAGGAATTAGCTACTGAAAACTTCATGAATAGCAGCAAAATACTGTTAGAGATCAGGCTTATAATCACATGTGGGGCTAATTGAAAGGCGGAGGGATAAATAGCTTGGTGAGCCTCCAGGAGTGGGGTACGAACCCACGCGGACATATGTCCATTGGATTCCATGGGAATGGGCCCATGGCCACACTGCACTTGTTGTGAAGTGAGTTCCTTGATCTGAAGCAATGCTATGTGGGATGCCATACCGGTGGATGAGGCATTCTGTAAGTCCACGAATAAGCATCTCAGCACTAGCAGGGGTCTTCCACACACCTGCGCCAGCACCCAGGGCTGCATCGGGATAGGTCCA